AAAAAAAAAAAAAAGTTAAGTCTTTTCAAAAAGAGAAAGAGAAAACAAAAAAAGCTCATCTATCAGACAAACGAGATTTTAAGGCAAAAACTCTACTACAGATAAAGAAGGACATTTCACAAGGATGAAAGAATCAACCCATCAGAAAGTTAAAACAATTTAAAATTTGTATTCATGTAATAACAGAATAAAACTTGCAAGAAGTGAATCAAAATATGTTCACACAAAAACTTATACATGACTCTTCATTGCAACATTATTTATAAGAGTAAAAAAGTAGAAAAAAAACAACTGATCACTGGATAAACAAAATGTGGTATATCCATACATTGGAATATTATTCAGCCACAAAAAATGAAGTACTAATACACATTACAACATGGTTGAATCTTGAAAACATTATGCTAAGTGAAAGAAGGCAGACACAAAATGACTCCATGCTGTATGATTCCATTTATATGAAATGTCCAGAATGGGAAAATCCAGAAAGACAGACAGTACATTAATGGATGCCAGGGGCTGGGAAGAGGGGGAAATGGGGAGTGACTGCTAATGGGTACGGGGTTTGGCGGGGAGTGGGTAATGAAAATGTTCTACAGACAATCCCTGATTTGCAATGGTTTGACTTACAATTTTTTGACTTTACAATGGTGCATGAAACATAATTTCAATGTACTTCAAATTTTGAATTTTGATCTTTCCCCAGGCTAGTGATAGTCGGTACCCAACTGTAGCAATGCGGGTCAGAACTCGCTCCATCCTCATGGCCTTTGGAGCTCTGGCTTCAGTCTTTCCCCTGCACAGGTTGGTTAGCAACTGAGGGAGGGAAAATTACAGAATGCTATGCTTGTGTAAGACAAGGGAATGATGCCCCAACCCCAGGGACAAGCAACAGGAGGCTGTGGGGTGCCTGGGAATCTTCCACTTCCATGGCCTTTCTCTCCTTGGCATAGCTCCACTTCTGTGCCTAAATCCCTTATAAGCTTCAGCTTCTCCCCTCTGGGGTTGTGGAAAAAGCTGCTGCATAGCGCCAGGATCGATAGTGCCTGATCCATTCCCTGTGAGTAACCACCAATCAATAAGAAGAAACTCCATGTAAACTGTATGGAGTTGCCTGCTTCCTTCTTTGGTCTCAGGATACCTTCTCAGTTTGGGGGAATTATACTGTTAGCTCACACTCAGACAATGAGATATTCAACATTTTATTCTAAAATAGGCTTTGTGGTAGATGATTTTGCCCAACTGTAGGTTAAGGTAAATGTTCAGAGAACATTTAAGGTAGGCTAGGCTAAGCTATGATGTTTGTCAGGTTAGGTATTTTAAATGCATTTTTTACTTACAGTATTTTCAACCTTAGATGGGTTTATTGGACATAACCCCATTATAAGTTGAGGAGCATCTGTAGAATTTAAATAGTAATGATGACCACACAACCTTGTGAATATACTAAAAAACTTTGGCTTATACACTTTAAAATGGTGAATTTTATGATGTGTGAATTATATCAGTTTTGAAAAACTATAATTTAAAAAAATTGACAGAAGTAAAAGGAGAAACAAAATCTACAATCATAGAGATTTTCCTCTCTCGATCACTGATGGAACAAAATTAGTGAGGATATAGATATGAACAACACAATTAAAAACTTGCACTAACAGACACAGGTAGACGACAGCATCTAGCAGCTGCTGAAGCAAAGCCTCCACTGACGGAGCCCTCACTGTGGACCACGCTGTGGACCAGGCTCTGAGCTGCACACGCAGCACCTCATTGATCCTCTCTGTTCTCACATCGCCCTCTTCACAGATGAGGAAATAGAGGTACAGAGAGAGTGAGTCTCTGGCCCAAAGTCACCAGCTTGCTCTTAACCTCCCCATTCTATAGATGAGGAGTGAGACCCAATGACATGAAGGACGCTGCTCTTAAATGGCAGAACG